AACAACAGACAAGTGTTGGAGGAATATATTTTCACTTTCCTCAGCTGAGCACAGGAGTTCGGATGGAATTGCATAGAAACGAAAAAATTTCACCAGCAAATATAAATCACCATGTGCGTATTTCACCACGCTGATTTCGAGAAATTCAGCCCTGCATATTGCAAAAACATTTTCGTCGATACTACCAGCGCTCCGAATCCTGTACAACATGCTTGTCAGTGACAGCGTCCTCCGGAGGCGGCAACATTGAAGCCATCTTGTCGGGCCACGTTACGAGAATGTTACAAAGGACCTACAATACTCACATCATGAATTCGATATCCAATAACTCTCTATTCGTTGAATCTATACATGCTGTACATTGGAGTTTCACCACCCTAGTGATATGAAAAACACATTTCACAAACTACTGCATATCACCACGAATACGCCACTTCACGTAAAACGGGTCGTGAAACTCCATCAATTTTCATATGATTCAGAGCTATTACTTTCTCAGTGACCATCGCCTTTCTCGCCGAGCTTTGACTTTCAAATTGCACATACGCCACCTGTGCACCTGTGTTAGGATCTGCTTCACAAATCGCCTAAAAAAGTCTATGCTGATCTCCAGGGTAGTATAGGAACTGACCAGGTACTCAATCTTCTCAGGGTTGGGGAAGAGGCGATCAAGTAACTTCACATTCAAGGGACTAATAACACAGCAGAAGGAGAAGGTCCCAGGTTCGAATCCCAGCAAGGGCACTTTTACCCCTTTTCCAATTTTCCTAAATATGCTATCGCATCAGCTGAATACCACTGTGGTGGGTCCCCTAATTCCATGCCACTATCTCGAATGCTTTCCGAGGGCAGCAAAGTGACCATCAGCATTCTCGGTGCTACTTGAGCTGGACGATTAAGATCGTATTCCACCCGTTCGTACAGCCTACAATGTGATGAATAACGCGGAAACCAATAACCCCATACCACGTGCTTCACGCGTTATTCGCAGCTCATATGCGTTTTTCGCCAACTTAAATGTGAAATATGTTTTTCACTACAGTGTGATGAACCAAACCGTTATGCAAAGTAGTATTTTCAACTTAGCCCTCGAAAGTCAACTTTGAGTGATAACAATGTAAATCGATTGATGACACCAACGTCTTAGAAGCGTTACGTAGTCTATAGTCGTATGAAAGCATCTCGGAAATCTACATATGCATAACTGTTTACTTCCCACAGTGTGTTACACTTGTTGTTGTAAACAGTAATTACCCAATTCCTCGCCCTACCTGCGGAAACCTTGATAACGATCCTTCGGGACCAAGTGCTTGTACTGCGCCATAAACGTCAACGCCTCCGCCTTTTTTCCAAACTTGTTAAAAAGGCCCGCGACATCCATCACTGCACTAGCGGCCTGATACGAAATGTGATATGAAACTGCACATAGTAGAATTTCACCCTAGTGATATGAAAAACATATTTCGCACTTCACGTAAAACGGGTTATGGAACTCCAGTATAATGCAGTCCACGGAATCATCCAGGAACCTATAATGTTCCCGGGAGGGGAAAACTCATTTTCAATTTTCCACGTATGGCTAGGAACACATTCTTCAATCAGTTTCCCATGTAAATGTCATCATCACATTAGAAACATCATTCTCCCCATTGTTATCAAACCCTAGGGAGCCTCCCTGATATTTCCCACCCTCGTTCGTCATTCGATGCACTGTATATGCTAATACACATATTTCATATCACCGCGAACATCGCGTTTGTTTTTCACAAAATATCACGCCACTTCACGTAAAACTGCACATAATATAGCCTATGTATGCTAATACACATATTTCACGACTACTGCTGTATATCACCGCGAATATCGCCCTTTTCCACAACTTCACGTAAAACTGCATACCCTAATTCCTTGCTCAATGCACTGAGTATGCCAATATAATGCCCTCTTATAATCTCGTACATTCTCCGCTCGCTTCGCCAACGTATACGGTGATGAGTCCTAAACAAGCACAATACAGTAAAAGTAGCACATACTACTACTACTACTACTACTACTACCCTTGGAAGTGTGATGGAACTACTACGACGATAAAGTACTTCATCTTGCAACCCGTCATCAACAATATCAAGAGCCCTTCGCGAGCCGACCATCGCACGCTGTGGCAGCAGAGGTAGATTTCCCGCTAGTTGCGGACCGCACATGGGAATTCTCTCAGTAGCATTAGCATTCAAGTCCCCAACGTTATTGTCGTAGTTGTGGTTATAGCCTCCGCCGTTGGAGGAGGGTTCTATAAGAAGCCCAACTCCATGGAAAGAGCCAAAAAAGTCCGGCTCGCTGCCGAACATTAGAAATACTAACTACAACATAATACGTAAATATTCGGTCCAAATGTAAAGGTGATATTCGGGGGGAAAATGGTAAAAATTCTCATTGCTTTTTGTACATTTATACCCAAATTCTTAGGTAAATTTCAATGCCTAACGAGAAGAGTCCTAGACTCAGCTGAGGAAAGCGATTACATATATTCCTACTCCAACACTGTATAAGAAACTCTTCTGAGCTCAGGTGCTGAGGAAAGCGATTACATATATTCCTACTCCAACACTGTATAGGAAACTCCTGAGCTCAGGTGCTGAGGAAAGCGATTACATATATTCCTACTCCAACACTGTATAGGAAACTCCTGAGCTCAGCTGAGGAAAGCGATTACATATATTCCTACCCCAACACTGTATAGGAAACTCCTGAGCTCAGCTGAGGAAAGCGATTACATATATTCCTACTCCAACACTGTATAGGAAACTCCTGAGCTCAGCTGAGGAAAGCGATTACATATATTCCTACCCCAACACTGTATAGGAAACTCCTGAGCTCAGCTGAGGAAAGCGATTACATATATTCCTACTCCAACACTGTATAGGAAACTCCTGAGCTCAGCTGAGGAAAGCGATTACATATATTCCTACTCCAACACTGTATAGGAAACTCCTGAGCTCAGCAGCTGAGGAAAGCGATTACATATATTCCTACTCCAACACTGTATAGGAAACTCCTGAGCTCAGCTGAGGAAAGCGATTACATATATTCCTACTCCAACACTGTATAGGAAACTCCTGAGCTCAGCTGAGGAAAGCGATTACATATATTCCTACTCCAACACTGTATAGGAAACTCCTGAGCTCAGCTGAGGAGAGCGAACATATATTCCTACTCCAACACTGTAT